CCCACACTCTAATAATGAAGTGTCAGAAAAAGAAGGAAAAAATAATTCTTTTTGCAATTGCAACAAAAAGAATAAAATATCTAGGAATAAACCTAATGAAACATATGAAGGACCTATATAATGAAAACTATAAGACCCTATTAAAAGAAATCAAAGAAGATACAGAGAAATGGAAAGATATTCTGTGTTCTTGGATTGGAAGAATCAGCATAGTTAAAATAACCTTATTACCTAAAGCATTATACAGATTAAATGCAATCTGCATCAAAATCCCATCACCACGCTTTAAAGAAATAGAACAAAACATCATCAAATTTGTATGGAAGCACAAAAGACCGTGAATTGCCAAAGCCATCCTGAGAAAAAAGAATGAGGGAGGAGGCATCACTCTGCCCGACTTCAAATTGTACTACAAAATGACAGTAAACAAAATGGCATGGTATTGGCAAAAACATAGACACACAGACCATTGGAACAGAATTAAGAGTCCAGAAATAAACCCATGTTTATATGGGCAAATAATTTTTTACAAAAGAGCCAAAAACATACAGTAGATAAAGGAAAGTCTCTTCAATAATTGGTGCTGGGAAAACTGGAAAGCCACCTGCAAAAGGATGAAACTAGACTGTTGTCTATCCCCGCACACCAAAATTAACTCAAAATGGATTAAGGACCTGAATATAAGACCTGAAACAATAATTTCCATAGAAGAAATATAAGAACTAAACTCACAGACCTTGAACTTAAAGATGATTTTATGAATTTGACCTCAAAGGCAAGGGAAATAAAAGCAAAAATAAATGAATAGGACTATATCACACTAAAAAGCTTCTGTACAGCAAAAACAAACAAACAAACAAACAAACAAACAACAACAACAACAACAACAACAAAAACATCAACAAGGTAAAGAAACAACATCTTAGAATTACAGAGTTGTATTCAACTTTCACTACTACTGTGCTTTTTATCATAAATTTCACAACTGAATTATTTATCTTAAACTATATCATCTTCAAAATCATAACAGAGCTTATGGAAAGCTATCACTGCCAAATGAATAGTAGGGGGAGAGTAATGAGTATAGGAAGTATGGAGAAAAGAAACTCAGCATCTTAAAATATTATCTCCTATAAAAAT